GACGGCCACAGCTCCATTAGTCCTCTGCTTGTGGGACTGGTTACGTTTACAGACTGACTGACTCGCCTGGCTGTGTCTCTCCCCGTGTACATTGTGTACCACATTGGCCGCAGCAGCAGCAGCAGCACTGCTCGATGGTTAATTTCAAGTTCGAGGACAACAGTATCTTGTGATCTGCAATACTCAAACAAAGAGGGAGTACGAACAGAGGCGGTCCGCGGACTTTGATTTCGCTCCTCATTGTCTCACTTTTGAAAATGTAGATTTTTTGACATCGCCAAGACTGTGTTTGCGAAGGCCTTGTTCATAATGCGACCTAAGACGCTTCATTTTCCTTTCGCGCGAGAAAAAAAAGAAAAGAAAAAAAGACGTAATGAATTGACTGATCGAGTGTATTTTGTACTCAAAAGATCTGATTTTTTTCTCCTGTTTTTCAAATCAGAAAACTTGTGGATTTAGGCTGATGGTGAATATCTTGCCAACCGAATCTATATTGGTGTGACCAAATAATGAATCCGACGGATGACAATGATGTGGGTTTTTTCTTGTTTTGTGTGCTTATTTATTTTGTAGCCTCTCGTTTACCATCTTACTTTGATGCCACGGCTATCCAAGCTAAAATCGGTTAATACACGCTGACTACTGGGATCCCATGTTGTAGTCTGAGCTGACCTCAAAACGAGCTTTTGTCGTATTTTCTGTGCCCTGCAAACCAAGCATTAGCAGACTAATTTTGTATTTTGCGTATCTTTCAATTTCCAAATCAATTCTAAGATGTCTCTTTTGATTTTATCAATCCAGTATTAATAATCCAGGTCGATGGGTCCGTGTGGATTTGCACTGAGGTACACGCCCCGAGATGTTCACAACAGGTAACCTTACGCGGTGGGCCCCTTCGTTTTAAACAAGATTTTCAGTTCACGATTCTTGAATCTTGATAATTGTCGTTTAAATAAAACAGAAAAAAAGAAGAGAAAAAGAAAGATGAAGATTAAAAAGATTAATTTTCAAATGTACCGTCAGGGCGAGGCTGGCCAGGATGATCACACTGAATTTAACTGCTTGGTCTGCCCGAAATATTGTGTATCATCATTATATCATTATATTTCCAAATAATAAAAAGTGGAATATTACCGAAAATCAACTTGACTTGTATTTTGTCAGTGACTTTGCTTTTTCAATGTGTGTGTGTATGTATATATGTATATATATATATGTATGTATATATGTATATATCTCACACTTACAGCGCAATCACATTGAGCGGAAACAATGACTTTCAGTGAATTTAAAGGCTAAAATACGAAATATTAACCAAACAGTCACACTCTCTACCACACTACTGCAGATTAAACTCCTCCTGTGTGAATGAAGCAAAATCAATAAATCATTAAATAAATACCCAACAATTCAGAGTCTTTGCCAGCTGTGTGTTTAGATAGGTAACACAAATATACAAATATAAAAACAATAATAAACCTGAATCGATACTTAAATTATGTTTGTGCTGCTGTGCTCTCCAAACATTTTTCAGTCTCCCTTGCTGTATTTTGAGTTATATAACATATTTTGCAATTCTTGCATTCCATCTAAAGGAAATCATTGTTACTGAATCTTTGCAGATAGCGTATAGGTCACCTTTTATCTGTCACAGTCATATTTATTGTTGCCAGCATATTGCACCATGTGTACTTTATTCTCGAATCTTTTCTCTCTGCTTGTGTCTGTCCGTGTGCGCAAACTGTCATTTTGCTGATTGGCTTTGGAAACCCTCTCCAACTGGAGTCTCCTTTGGCGAGGGTCGCCATATTTGCTGTTGTTATCGCTGTGTTTATGGGAGCTAGCCGCAGCGCATTGGCGTTCATATATGACAGTCAAAAGGGCCATAAACTCAGGGAGAGAGGCTGAAGTTTATGGTTGCCTCTCGCTGCCATAGTCCGGCCTTGCCTTGCGCATCCTTTACTGCGCGCTGGAATTCCGTCCCTAATTACGGGACATCCTCCCCGTTGCCGCAGCAACGCGGCCATAAAAGCTGTCTGAGAGTCTGGAGCATTTGTACAATTGGAGTGCAGTGCAATAAACCGTCTGAGACCCAAGGTTATTAACTGTGTTACCAAGGAGGCGACAGCAACGACAGGCAGAGGACGGATAGGAAAAGCTTCTGCTCGCTCGCTGCACCGGCTTCATTTGAGAGGCTTTTCCCTGTAGCGTGGTTTATCCACCTCAAATCATTCCTGAGGAAAAGGCTGCACTTGGGATTGGACTCTTCTACCACCGGGCGGCGCTATTGGGACCAATGTCACGGCCCTGGATCTTTTGATCTCCAAACTCACCTTAAAAGCAAACAGGTAAAAGTCGCCCGGGAAGCCTGGACCTTGAATAGTTTTGCTCTGCACTAAAGAAAACCAATTGTTCATCGCTTGAATTCTTGCCTTGCATGCAAGCCCTGTTAGTCCGAGATAAGAGCCTCTTTTTTTTTAGTTTAGTTTCCACATTTTTCCTCTGGTGCCCAAAGGCTTACGCGCTAGAGAAAGTCTTCCTGGGGGCCCTAATAAGGCAGCACATCTGTGCCAAGGCTTCATGCTGCATGTGCTATTCATTTTGTTGGGCTAGAACTTTTTAATGGTTGGAGTGTAGCATAGCCGCCTTGTACCTGGAGAGATCTGCAACCCCTCCCAAGTCTAACCACAAATGTTTTGTATTTCGGAAAACTCTGCCTTAATTATTAGACAAAGGTGGACACAGCTCGGACGTTAATGACACAAACTAGGCAGTGGGTGCTGGAAGGAAAACAAACGGTTTTATTTTTCACATACTAATGCAGCTCATCTTAAATCACAGTAGTCGCCTCTGTGATCATTCTCCTCCGTGCTCTTCCTCTTAAAGGAATCCATTAAAATCATTTGACGTCGTTCCAAAACACAGAATTCCCTGTCTACGTGCCAAAGCTGTGATTAAAAAGGTCGATTTGATTGCGATAGGGCAGCAATCGCGTCTCCTTTTCCTTCCTGTAACAGACACTATAGGGCTGAGGTTTGAGGCTATTCTGTCTCAGTCCAAGTGGCGAGTGGCTATTCTAAACCCTAATGCGTGTGGACCCAGTCTCTTTTCTCTCTCTCTCTCTCTCTCTCTCTCCTTTGTCTCTCGTGAAAAATAAATGCTTCCGCTTGGACGTAATAAAACGCCGCGTTATTGTTCATAACTGCACTCGGGACGAACATGATACGATTCAAACGGCCTCTTCGGCCACGATTATATGGGCCCGATCAAAGCCAGTGGTCAGACTAAACTGTGTTCAGGATATAATAGCCGGGCAGCTGTGAAAATGAAGATTTAATAGCTACAATTAATAACTGCAACACAACGGTATCGATAGGCCCCCGTGCCACTACAACATCATGAAGTGTGCGGGCCAAAACACTTTAATACCAGGCACACATAATTAATTGAGGTATTTGGTTTCCCTGTTGGCTCATGTGTCCCACGTGCAACAGGCCACTGTGGGGACAAGCGCACATGATTTTAAACCTATTGTTGTTCGTTTATCTGTGTCACTGGGCTAACAGTGTTGTGGTTCATTTTATGTTTTGGGGGAAATTTTACAAACGGACACAAACGCTCCGGCCGCTCACGGCCTTTATTCTGAAATCTCAAAACGCCTTTTAAAAAAATACAATTCCATAATAGATCATTTTCTTCTCAAATTGGCCATTGCATTATATTCTCATGCGCATAAATAACCCGCATCCAGCCTCAGTCATTTAAGTAATTTGAAGTATGCTCGCACTGAGCAGCAGCGATTGACAAACGTCCGCCGTGACTCGGTAAAACTCCAAGTCAGTGTACATATAAATGACAGAAAACCTAAATGGGCTCAATTTATGAATAACTCCCGAATTTCCTCTTTTTTTTTCTTTCTTTCTTTCTTTCTTTCTTTCTTTCTTTCTTTCTTTCTTTCTTTCTTTCTTTCTGTTTTTTTTTTGCAAAACAAACTGGGGGGGTTGTAAGGGCCACCTGGGCCTGGTAATGGCAAAGCTGGCCAAGATTAACTTCAACCTGGAGACAGAGCAATGGAGTGCACATGGCCAAGGACACGACAAGATGGAAGGAGAGTTTTATTGTGGACCTTATTGTCCCAAATTGGACAAACAGGATGGCTTGTGAATGTGGAAGCTTTATGTCGGCTTTACTGTGGCGCAAAGGGACTTTTCCCTCACAACAACGTGATCAATATTTTGGCAGATTAACGAATGTAAATTTGCGTATTGAAGTCCGCTTTGAGTTTTTTTTTTTTTAATGTTTGTAAGAAAGGAATCCAAACAGCGCAGTGCTGCATGGTGATATCATTTGTAGCGTTTGAGCAAAAGCACACGCAGGCTTGACCTTTTCACATGTTGCCCGTAATGATTACTTGGATACAATTAAATACATTCTATATTTTGCGTTTTTGGAAAAAAAACAGACAAAGAGCATAGTTATTGCGTTGTCTAATTTGAAATTGATAGATTGAAAAAAAAATGTGTTCATGTTCTTAGTGTAAAATTTAAAATTATATGGACACAGGATTTATATAAAATTAAGAAAGTGCCTTCAGAGGCTTTGTTGGATGGAAAGTAGAATGACAGGGAATTTTAGAAATTTGGTTTTTAAATGATTTAATTATTTTAATTTTTTTTCTATGTATTTGTGCATTCTTCAGTTGCGTTCAGACCCATCGACAATGTGTTTTCTTTGTCACGCAGCACTGCTTTGTTAATCTTCGCGAATTTTCCAAGAATTTAATATTTGCCCAAACTCTCAAGTGAAAAGTGATTTTGCTACAAACATGTACAAAGTGACTTAGAACAGTACAACTAAACGATCCGGACTAAAATGAAAATATGAACTTTTCAGAGGCATTATCTTCCGCATGTTTGATAGCAATCACTATATCTGTAGGCAACAATATTCCAAACACTTCTGTTTTTATTGCAGAGGAGCTCAGACTTGCTTTGGGCTGCAGGATGGACAACATAAAACAAGACATTTTGCCAAAGGCGCATTCTCCCTACAGTCAAAAAGACTTTATTACCGTTAAGCTTTGTCTTGTGTCTTTGTTGATGGGTTTCAGAAGGCTCACACGTTTTAAATTGACCTGACACCTTAAAGCCACACCGGCTTAAAGCGAAATTGTATAATAAATTGTATTATTTGCTTATATTTTCCCACTTACATCACTTTTATCGTTCAGGGGCTTGGCAGGTTATACATATAGCACGTCCTACTGTCCTGTATAGCTAAGCGTTGTGCTAACATTTGATTTGCATTGCATTTGTTGGAAAGTGGAAGTCAGTGCTTCAGGCCTTTGTGTACTTGTGCAATGGAAATAATGCTTCCAAAGCTTTTCTAAAGAACACATGCACGAATTACACAATTCAAAGACAGATGTTTTAAAACTTCTGAATCGTGTTGCACCTCGTCACTTCAAGGTAGCGCATAAGAAGAGGTGAGGCACTGATTGCTGTGCTGTCTTCTTTCTCTGCCTCAGCTCCAAGATGGATATCGTTACGTAGCCCCAGAGTGGGAGGGACTGCCCATCTTCCAGCTTTTCCATTGGTTTCACAGTCTGCTCGGCGGAGAGGGGGTGCCTCTAATCATATCCAGCATGTTTTGCACAAGAAATGTCAGCCAGAAAGGGCTACCTTCTCTCTTCGCCAAAATACACCACAATAATGTCATGTTCGGACAGCCCGTCAGGAAATGCGTTTCTAGTGGATTCTCTGATCAGTGGCCGCAACGAGAGCGGCGGAGGTCACTACACCGGGAGCGCATTGTGCGTGCCTCACAGCACTGCCACAGAAGTGCCTTACGGACTACACAACTATGGATACTTCCCAGGTATGGGTAAGCGGAGCGAGGTGGGTCCACAAAACGTGGTTTCCGCCTCGGGCGCTTACATGTCCACCATGGAAATGTGGATGGACGCACAGAGGTCATGTCGGATGGACCAAGATCACCCGGTAGGTCCTCAGGTCGCGCCCTGCTCGTTCCCGCAAAATATAAAGGAAGAGAGCACCTACTGCCTGTACGAGCAGGCGAAGTGTCCTAAAGCCTCCACCGCAGAAGATCTCACATATTCAAGGTTAACTGGAGCCGGCCAAGGGTCGAGTTCTTGTACAGTTACCGATGGCGGCGGGGGCTCAGTGCCTGTGCCGGGCTACTTCCGCTTGTCTCAGACGCACGCACATTCTCATAAACTTTACAACTCCAGCGGCCCCCAGTCGAACCCTTCCCATTCCCATTTTGGCCTACACCCCACTGCTCCAGCTCGCTTCCACACACCTCCAACCTCGACTTCTGCTCCAGCCACGGCACAGGAGGGGAGGAACACCGAGGGGCCCGTGTCCTCGGGAAACGCAGACCTGCAGCCTCACGCTGCGACTGGGACCGAGGAGGCACGCGACTCCTCGGATGGAGACGCCTCGTCAGCTGAAGAAACAGAGGAGAACGACAAAGAGAGAGCAGTACAGTCTAATAAAGGTAATGTCACGGTTCGTCTGCGCACTTTTGTTTTGTTAGCGTTCAGGTAGAGTGGGGCTTTTTAATGACACCTGTCAAGTTTTATTTTACTGGTCAGGGTGAGGTGACAGTGAAGACACAGGTCTGTAAACACTGCTTTTGCATATCTCGTTGTTTCTTATGCTATAAAGACAAGATTCTGCGAGAGGAACGCCCTTAAATAAGCGTGCATTTTTTCATGAATAGACAGAAATTGTACTGCGTAAAATTAAAAGAGAGAAGCAGTGATTATGAGGGCAAATTTAATTTTGCCTGATTATACAAACCTACAGAGTGACATGAAACTCTTTATTGTCGTTAAACAAGCACAACAAATTTAATAATACAAACCTACAGAGTAATATGAAATGAAGTACTTATTATACGATGCACGTTAAATACCTGCAGCTTTATCCAGTGTTGTTTTTGTTGTTGTTGGCTGCTGCATAAAAAAGGGCCTAAATTTATTATTTAGGCTTTTATGTTTTTCCAGTGCTATAACGTTTCTGTAATTTGCATCCATCTATGATAGCAGCATAATGTTTGTGTCCCTGTTTACGATTGGCGGAAAATTTTGCATATGTTGCTATAACGTCAACTGCAAGTCTGATGAATCTAACAAACAAACTATACTTTCCGACTCACACACACACACACACACACACACACACACACACACACACACACACACACACACACACACAGACTAATCCTTTCATTTCGTACTTATAATCAGAAACATTTATGACTTGGTTTATAACACTCTTATACTCTGTTAATATGCAGCTAATGTTAAGTCTGTTTTATTCTCCACTCCAAGCATGCAGTCGTGTTTTATTATAAGGTCACTCATTATCTATTTAGATAATGTCAAGTTTTCAAATGTAGTTCATCAGTAAACTCTTACATCCACATTTTAACACGTCATAAAACATTTATTAAATGCACTGCTTACCAAATATAGGGAATTTAAGGTAAAGTGTTGCCTGTTGTTTTAATATGAGCGCAATGCAAACATAGATTTTAAAAAAACTATGCTCTTTGTCTGCCTTTCTCTCTTACACACAGTGGAGTTTCTCATGTTTACAGTGCGTAAACCCGTTTATTTACCATTTTCTTTAGGAGACACAAAAAGTGAAAGCACGGCCAACTGGCTGACAGCAAAAAGCGGCCGTAAGAAACGTTGTCCATACACCAAGCACCAGACACTAGAGCTGGAGAAGGAATTCCTCTTCAACATGTACCTGACCCGAGAGCGCCGCCTAGAGATCAGTAAAAGCGTCCACCTGACGGACAGACAGGTCAAAATCTGGTTCCAGAACCGCAGGATGAAGCTGAAGAAAATGACGAGGGAAAACAGGATCCGGGAACTCACCTCCAACTATGGATTTTCGTGATGAACGAGAGAATCACGATGACACAGGAGAAGTAAAATAAAATGTAAAAACAAGATATATAGGTGAAATAAATTACATTCGCCACCCCACACCTCCTTGTCCACACAAAGACTCGTTTCACCGTGGGGTGCAGCGTCCTTTAATTTCCAAACACGCTTAATGTCAATGAAACGTCCTCTGTGAGCTACTGAGAAAAAGGAAAAAAGGATCATCTGAATGTTTTTGACTCTGTTTTTACCCCTGATTGTGTTTTTCTTTTCATATTTTCTTTTTGTATTGTTGATCCGACACCTCCGTCGTATGTTTGGGTAGTGTCGTCAGTGCAGTTAAATCAGTGCAGTGAACCCCCCCCCCCCCCCCCCACACACACACACACACACGCACGCATACATGCACACACACATGGACCTGCGCCCTGGAAAGTGACGGGGCAAATCATCTTTTTCATCTAAATTTTTAGAAATAATTTTGAAAAAATATTTAATTTTTAAACTGCATGATAAGAAGTTTTTATTTTATATATTTTTATTTTTTCGAAGCAAATTTAAACTAATCTGGAATATAATGCCCTTATATAACCAGGGAGAAATGACAAAAAAAAATCCTTCACCCTGTGACCATTAAATGTAGTACTATAAGTCTAAACTATGTATGAGCTGAATGTATAAATTGGAACTCCGTTCGCGTTGAGGGCGTTTACACGAAAACAGTTTGCAAAGTGAAGGAGGAATGTTCCTTTTTGTATATTTCTGTGTACATATGACAATGTGTTTTTTTGTGTAATGCTTAATAAATTATCAGCTCGCACTGAACCGAAGCCGTTTGAATTTTTTCTGTGTTCGTGTATGTTTTTCTATAGAAGGAGACAGGGACAGAGAGAGGCTGGAGGGGGAAATAAGCCTTTAAAATGTAAAGTTCAAAAATAACAGAGGCTCCTACACTTGATATTCCTTCTTTATTAAATTTTTTTTTGAGTGTGTGTGTGTGTTTGTAGCAGCTGAGCAACAAACTGTTTCTAAGCACTACTGCACTGGCCATCGGAAATAATTAAGATATTAGGCTATAAGCCGTCTAGCTGCATACCCAGCCGGCTATTGTAGAGTTTTATGACTGGCTGGTATATGAGCTTTCTCCCTCTCCTCTAAGAGCTGCTTCAGTCGTGAGAGAGTCTTTCGGACGGAGAGGAGGCCCGGCTCACAGCTAGAAAACTGAACTATGCAAACACACTGTGGATAAAACACGATTTCTGCTCAAGTCTGGGAATAACTGGGATTAACGCGAGGATCGCGGTAAGTTCATTCATTGCTGTACATTTGTCCATTTTGCGCCTTGTTGCAGCGGGTTCACTGGAGTGCATACAGCCCATCAAACACTGTTGTGGCTTTCTCAGTACATTTTTTTGAACACATGATGACCGAAGCGACGACCACGGTGCATTATGAACTGGCTGGCTGTGCTTTCTCTCGAGGCCCGGATCGACTGTCGAGTGGTTTAGGTAGTTTCATGTTGTTGGGGTCCATTTCTAACTCTGCAACATGAAACTGTCTTAATTGCCCCAGTTACATACATCGAAACCGAAAGTGAAGCAAATCTGGGTGATAAAGAGGGTGAGATTTTCTTTTTTTTTAAAGTGGGGAACGGTGTGTTGGTGACACGTTACAAACCTTCCTATGTGGAAATCAGGGAGGGGTGGCTGGCTGTTGTGTACAAGCTCAACCTGTCTTCCGTAGTGCTTTCTTTGGAGTCCTCCACTTGCTTTGCTTTCCTTCTTCTTTCTTTCTCTTGCTAGAATACGTCTGAATGGGCACGTGTGCTGAATATCAACGTGATCAAAGCTGAGTTGCATTATACATTGTGGACTTGGGATTAAGGGTAAAGCCGTGAGTGTTTTTCGTGAGTAGTAGTGACGCAGACACGCCAGACAAGGCCTCGGTTACGACCACTGCAGTGGAGGGGAAGGGGAAGGTGAATGGGGCAACAGCGACCTCCGTGGGCAATGAGACCGGATGCTTCCACTGCGCAATAGTGGCTCAGACAAAAGGAGGGGAAGGGCTTTATGGTGATATTTAGATCCGCCAGACAGGCTGTTATCTGCAGAGGCAAAAGAAGTGAATAGCCCCTGCGGTAAACTGAGTGAAAAAACACCCTGATTTAGGTTTACAGCCTTAGAGCCATTGGCATAGTGCCGTCTTTTCCTGCTCTGAAGGTGTTTGTCTATTCGAACTTTTAGTGCACAAATAGGCGCACAGCCGCTCCTTTCCCCCTTCGGCTTGTTTGATGTCTAGCCAAATATTGTGCAAGTACCAGCGAAGTGATAGCCCGCATCTAGAAAGCAAATTATGGACACCTTGTGCATTCTTCTGTGTTCCTCTTTTAGATGCATCAGCAGAGAGCAGATAATTTCTACGTGTTGAATTGCCTGTGGCCTTGTGGGGGAGTTGGCCAAGCTCTCACTTTATTTGCGGGTAATAAAAAAAAAAACGGGCATGCAGTATGTGAAAACTCAAGGTTGCTACTTTGAAACCTGCAGTAGTTAAATTCGCAGATTTAGGATTTACTGGACACGACAAGCTTACAGCACCATGTTTTTAAAAACACAAATAAATTCTGTGTTAAGCTCTATATGGGAAAAAAAACTGAAAATACAGCATATTAAATGTATCCTGGTGCAGGACATTCCCCGCGCCATTTCCTTTTAAAAGGGGGAAACCACAAACACCACATTGCATTTATTCTTAGCTGCATATAAGAGTAACGTTACACCGACGCCCTGGCACCTAGCTGGTATTACAGATAATTTGTTGATGGTAGTGATGATACAGGCGTATACTAAGTGATAACGGCGGTGTAAATAATAAACGGGTTAGAATGAGGCTCTGGTATTTTTTAAAATAATAATTACATATATTATTTATTAGTTAACCACTTCTATAATTTCTAAAGTTTTGGCCAGCGTGTTTGAATCCAGCGGATTATTTCAAAATTAGCAAAAAAATATGCATTTAATTTATTTCTATTTTCGCTGTTCTTCTTAAAAACCAAAACACACACCCACACACACACACACACACACACACACACACACACACACAAACACACACACACAAACACACACACACACACACACACACACACACATAAGCACAGTGTGTACAAATCCCTGTAGACATGCAC